TCTAGGATCCAATGGCTGAAGGAAGGTGACTTCAATACAACCTTCTTTCATAGGCTAACTCAAGTGAGGAATGCTATGAACTCAATACGATCATTCGTCCTCCCCTGCGGCACAATAATAACTGATCCTCTTGCAATGAGCTCACTAGCCGTAGCAGATTTCCAACAACTCTTTGCTCCTCAAACTCAAGCACTCTCTACAACGCTTCCTACTTGGGTCCACATGCTAACGGATTATAGATGCCCATCTTCTCTTCAAGCTACAATGACCCTTTACCCTAGTGCCTCTGAAATTGAAAAGGTTATACTCAAGCTAAATCCCAACAAATCACCTGGCCCTGATGGATTAATTTCAGGATTTTACAAAGCGGCACGGTCAATTGTTGGAGCAGGGGTCATCTCGGGGATTCAACCATTCTTCGCCTCAGGATTCCTACCATTCTCATCCAACTCCACCATTCTCACCTTGGTACCAAAACATAGCGGTTCCTCAACGATCACGGACTACAGGCTCATTTCTTGTTGCAACACGCTATATAAAACCATTTCGAAGATCATGGTACAAAGGCTAAAACCTATGTTACCATCTCTCATCCTCCCTAATCAGACATCGTTTGTCCAAGGCAGGCTTCTGGTGGAGAACACAATCCTAGCCTCTGAGATAACGCATGGATACCACTGTGATAAGGGGCCGAAACGGATCACCATCAAGGTCGACATCGCCAAAGCTTTTGACACCGTCAACTGGAACTTCTTGTTTAACTGCTTACAAGGACTAAACATCCCATACACGTACCTATGCTAGATTTATTCATGCGTAACATCATCAAGCTTCATGATTGGTTTCAATGGAACAGTACAAGGTTATTTCAGAAGCACAAGAGGACTCAGACAAGGAGACTCACTCTCCCCTTATCTTTTTGTCATGACAATGAACTGTCTAAGCCTAATGCTCAATAAAGAAGCGGAGGATGGAAGAGTATGGTATCATCACTATTGCCGAGAAGCAAAACTGACGCACCTATGTTTCGCTGATGATCTATTGATCTTCTGTGATGGCTCCTTGAATTCATTGAAAAATGTAATGGATGTCCTTCACCAGTTTGCAGATGTCTCGGGACTCACAGTTATTGTTTCTAAGCCCTCCTTCTACACTTGTGGCCTGTCAGAAGAGGAAACAAATCGAATCAGATCATAGACGGGATTCAGCCATGGCCAACTACTAGTTCGATATCTAGGGGTCCCCTTAGTTACCAAGAAACTATCAATGGCAAATTGTGAGCCTCTTATACAACAGGTCAAAAACATAGTGAATAGTTGGAGTGCCAAAGCATTATCATTTGCGGGAAGGTTACTACTAATTAACAATGTAATTGCAGGAATTTCCAACTTTTGGTGCTCTACTTTTACCATTCCTAAGCAGTGTATAAAGCTAATAAACTCGATATGTGGAGCCTATCTATGGAAAGGAACAACAGAGGGTCACCACTCAGAAAGAGTTTCATGGGACGCATTTATTTTACCAAATAATGAGGGTGCACTTGGGATAAGAGACTTACAATACCAGAACAAGGCGTGCTCGGTCAAGCTTGTTTGGCTTATGTTCTTCAAATCAGGCTCCATCTAGGTAGCATGGCTTATCAAGACCGTCTTACAAAACTGTCAAAGAAACTTCTGGACAATTAAAGAAAAGCAATCCCACTCTCATACCATAAAGAAAATGTTATGGGTTAGAGACTTTGCTTACCAGTGGATAAAGGTTGAGATTGTCAATGGCAGAAGAATGAGATTCTGGACGGATAACTGGACTCCGTTTGGCAGCATCAAATCTTTCCTCAACCTCCAGCACTCCCCGACGCTAAGAACTAGGCCGACCGCTACCATCTCTGATCTTTGCAACAATGGGATTTGGTCACTTCAATCTCCGCGATCAGACCAACAACTTTCCCTCCACACCCATCTAACTACAATCCATCTATCAACAGACGAGGATAAAGTGGTATGGATGCCTCAAGGGAAGCCTCTCAATCGCTATTCTACAGGTATGATTTATGATCTCATCCGAGATCACAAGCCTCATGTACCTTGGTTCAAAGCTGTGTGGTTTTCTAGAGGAATTCCCAAACATAAGTTCCTTACTTGGCTGGTGAATATGAACTGTTGCCCCACAAAAGATCGAATTATAGGCTGGGGAATCCAAACTGGTCCGACTTGCATCCTATGCAACTCTGCTCCAGAAACTCGAGATCATCTATTCTTCGATTGCACCTTCTCCTTCTCAGTTTGGTTTCAATTAGCAGCGAAATCAGGATCAATACCCATCCGTGACTGGAACCACCTTGTCTCCAGCATGCAGACACTACAACTTCCCAAACATATGCGTCTCTTGACGTTCATCTCATGGCAAGCCTCGATCTATTTTGTTTGGATGGAACGCAATAGCACAATCCACAGAAAGGAGTTATGTTCCACGGACTCAATCCTAACGGCAGTCAAAGCTTTGATTAAGAACAAGATCTCTAGCTTTCGCGATTCAAACCCCCGACTCTCCTCACTGATGATGCAGGTGTGGCTCTCTGATTAGCTATCTTGCATTGTTCGATCAACTTTCTCCATCACCAAACTACGCCAACGATCGGTTCGTTATTAACAACGCTCAACTATTGTTCCTTTAATTTTATGATGATGTATTAGGTCCATGGCCTCTAAATTATGGTCCTTTTGGGTCCAACATTACATATATATATATATATATATATATAAATTCTTTGCCAAAAAAAAAGTTTTCCAATAACGGTTTTAAATGTTTTCTTTAAATTTTGTATATATATTACATTTCAGTCTGCAATATTATTAATAATTAAATATAATTACCGAAATTTCAAAAACCAACACAACATACTATTTTTAAAAAAAATATTTTTGATAAATCTTATAATATGTAATCAAATATAACTATAGATAATATAAAAATGGTTAACAATATGTTTTAATTTAAATAATTCTAATAAAAATTATAATGATTGGTATTAAAATATCGTATATAAAAAGGTATACAAATGATATGTGAAACATACATAATTGTATAGATTAACATGAAAAAAAAATATTATTTAAGGAGTTGAATGGTGATCTTTTAAACTTGAGATGTATTGTTTATTCCCTTCCCTTATAAAAATAAGGAATTAACGAATTGTCGAAATGCCAAATCTCTTAAAGAAATAAAAAGAGAAAATCTGTTGGAGATACTATTACCCAAGAAAAAAAAGTGATTATGATCGGTGTCAATAATCAAACGTCACGCATAAGACAAAGTAATTCAAATTAACAAAACTCAACACTGCTTCAAGATTCCCTTTTTTCAATTTTCAAAAAGAAAAATGAAGATCAGCGTGGGTATGATTAGTTCAAAACAAATGAAAGTTTATAATTATGTTATCAAATAAAGCTTGCATACAAAATGGTTGTCAAACAATAATAAAAAAAAGAAAACAAAAATTAGATGTGGGCTCCACTAAAAGTTGTAGGCCTGTCTAGGGTTTAAGGGTGTCGTTTTCTAAAAACACTAACAATTCATGGTTGTCCTTTTTTTTTTCTTTTGATACGGTAACCATCTGAAACCGAAATAATTAACAAAACAGAAAATGAAAATTTAACCTAAAAGACAAATATTGTTATCTTTTCACCAAAAGGACCTTTTCGTAATAAACGTATAAGTTTCTCTCGGTGAAGACTTTCTAAATAATAAGCGAATACACATTTAAATATTTTGATGATTCACGTGCCGTCTCTAAGACTGTGATTCGAGTTTCCTATAATAATCCTGTGGGGTTCAATTTGACGCCAGACATTCTTTGTGTAGGAGAATCCATATTTTGGAAGTTGTCTCTTTTTTCTTGAACATTAATGGAGTTATCTTTTTTTTTGAATAAAATAATTGAATTTATCTTTTGGCAATTTGTTTGTTCCTATGTTGAGATTTTCGTTTCCTGAAAGCGACAAAGCTATCATACGCATAGTTTGATTACGTGTTACATTACATAGATATAACTTACTTGTTAGAACTTATTATATGATATCATCATACGTATACTTAATACTGAGTACATTTAATAATAGGAGCCAGAAATTTTTCTATAAAAAAGAAATAGTAAGCAAAATAAAAGTTTTCAATACAGATTTGAACTCCTTTACTAATTTTACTTATTATCAAAACATATATTAACCCTAGAACGAACTTGGCTACTACCAACAACAAATAGTCCCATAAACTCAACTGAAAACCGTCTTTTGTGATCTCTTAGAAAAATAAATATCTACACTATGTGACATATGCAAAACTTCCATTTTTATGATTTGTAAAAGCTTTACTGAACTTTGTAAACGTTTGTATTGTCCACTATCCAATAAGCCGAAGAGTACTATGCAACACTATCAAAATTAGTTATGCGGAAAAAGAAATTGGTATAAATCTTAATATTTACACTAAAAAGAAATATCAAAATTAGTTAAACGAGAGAATGAAGAGTAGGGAGGTATAACAAATACCAAATACTTAAAGGACTTGATCAAATATAAAGTAATATTTAGTTACAACAAATCTAAACTTTAGGGTCTTTTTCTTATACTACAAACTTTAGGGACTAAAACTTAGATAATGAGAGTACACAAATAAACAGTGCTGATAAAATAGTACATGACAGTCCTTAAGTGTTCATCTTTCTTTTTCGTCTTCTTTGTTCTGGGTGACGTTCAGTGTTTATCCTTTTTTTTTCTCTCTTCTCCGTTGTCTTGAGTGGCGTGACAAAGGTTGAATAGTATTTCCTCTTCTCATTTATTTTATTTTTTTCGAAGCACATAATCTCTATATTAAGTTAACGAGCTTTTTACAGATTTGACTTTTTGATTATGTTTTTCACACAAGTCTTTCACTCAGATCTGTGCTAATTAGTCTTTTATTTAAATACTTTAACGATGTGACATATCGACATAATTTGACAGATGGAAGACGAAGATGATGATGAAGTCTATTCTTATGGAGGAAAAGGTGATAAAGGCAACAAACAAAAAACGAAAACGAAAAAGAAAAAACCCACCCAGACTCAGAAATTGGTCCCATCAGATGACAATTTTCCAACAGTTAAGCATCTGTTTCTTTTAAATTTGTCTTTTAGTTTGAGTGAGAGACAACTTATCCTAGTTCCATCCAAAACCTTATAACATTTTTTTTGTAGGATCTCGAAGAAGGCACTACACAAACTGATTTGGATTGGTTAACCAAAAAGAAAGGTTCTTTAAGAAACGTGACCGATCAAGGAAATAGACGTAAGCATTATATTTCAGATTAATGATTATAACAAAATGGGTTTTTAGTATCTCCTTTGATTACATATTATATAATTTATAGTAAGCTCGTGTACGTAGGAAATCATTAATCTAATGAAGTTTCAAATCCGATTTTATTAACTTTTGGGCTTCTCTAAAAAAGTTGGATCTTGCGCAACTGAAACCGGTTTTTGTTTGGTTGTACCAGTCAGTAATTAGAAGAACTATAGTCTATAGCAATTTAAAGTCTTTTAATACATTGTTTTTTTTGGCGATCTATGTATATATGTGCAAAACTGGATTTGTTGAACAAAATTTCTAAACCACAATATAATGTTTTGGTTTTGATCAATTAAACCAAGTCAGTCTCCAAAGATATTTATATCCTAAAATATATATACTACTTAGCATTACTAAATAAATCATGAAAATACATACGCACGCATAGATGAAAACTTTTTTTTTGGCTCAACCGTAGAGATGAAAACTTATAACAACTTTTTTCTGTCATAGCTAGGTAGGGATGTAATATTTTGGAATCATGTCACTTTTTAACTGTGTATTCCACTATTCCTTACAGTTACGGTGATGCACATTCTTTACATAGCGAATTCAATCCAAGACATATATAACTCAATATCCCTATTTTTATTTGAAGGTACATGTTGGACGATTGCTTCATCGAGAGGCTTGTCTGCAAGTCTCGTAATTGCAGACAGATTTGATCCTCATGAAGTCAATTTATCAGCTCTCCATATGCTAGTAGGTCTGATTGACAAAGTAGATTCCACCGGTGGACTACAAAATCTTGAGCATCTGAGGAGTTTTATGGTCAATTGGGGTGCCATTTTAGAGGAAGACTGTGACTGCCCTCAATTAGCCTTGGAAGCCAAAAATGATTCCTCTAAACCCAACCCGGTTCTATGTACCGACAAAGGGAAGAAAGCCAAGGTTTACTAATTAATTTTTAATCTTAATAACTTATTTAGTGTTGGTGACCTTAATGTGTCTCTTACTCTCTTATAATATATTGTAGCAAACTCGCACGTTTAAGGTTGAAGATCTCATCATTCAAAAGGAGGTAGATGAAAGAGAACTCATGCGCTTGGTCAATTTGGGACCTGTGGCAGTTACCATAGATGTCCACACAGCCTTTAGTACCTTCAAAGGGGTTAGCAATTGGAATCATTGATTCTTTGATATGTTTTAAATATTTTCATACATTTTTTTTTTTTTTGAACACAAAATATTTTCATACATTTTTTTTGTTTTATTTATGAAAACAGGATGGTATCTACACTGGACCTACAAATAAGTGTCGCAAAATAGACAGGCACATGTTGTTAGTGTATGGATATGCAACTGACAAGTTGACAGGAATCCATTACTGGAGAGTACAGAATTCAGCAGGACTTACTTGGGGGAACAATGGCTATGGAAAAATCGTTAGACAAATCAGCCGTGGTTCAAATGCAAATAACTCTTTGTTTACTTGCATTATTTATCCTAAGGTACGATCTTCAATTGAATAACCTGTTATGATCGTGGTTTTGATTCTTACAGTTAAAATCAATTCGTTTTGTACAGCTTCTTGATCACTATGAAGGGCAAAAGTAAAACGTCTGGGAAGATGTGGAAGACTCGCCTTGTCTAATAGTAAGAAGGTAATTACATTAATTATTTTTTACAACGAATTACATTAATTACATAGTCTGTTATAGACATATATATATATATATATATATATGTTTTGATTCTTATCGTAAATTAGTCATTTTCGTCTCACACAGCTTCTCACAGAAGGGCAAAGGGAAACTTCTTTCACTTGCTTACACTCTCTCTCTCTTGCAATGTTTCTGGTTTAGACATTGTCGAATGTTTTTTTTCCCTTTTATTTACTTACTCGCTCATCTGCTTGTGTGTGTTTTACTTTACCTACTTCTCTTTTACTTGCTGTATCAGTTTATACATTTCTGTTTTAGACCTTGAGGAGTATATTTCCTTAATATATTACTAAGTGGTTCAGACGTCACAAGAAAGTTACGTTTTAGAACATAATATTGATAATAGTGAACAATAGAAGAAGCTAAAGGAGAGTTTATAATATAGTTTTCATCAATTCTTTCTTTCTCTCGACGAATCGGTTTAAAACCGACATTTTATTAACATACTTTTATAAAAACTAAAATTCATTCGATAAGAGAACATGTCACAATAGTAATTTAATATTACAAAAAGGGCTGAAAGCAGTGGCATACCATTATCAATCTATTCTTCTTCCTCCTTGACTGATAAGTTTTCACAAAGTTGAATAATCACTAGTGTTATCCCCAAGGGTGTTATCTCTTCGCATTGTATTAATACATCTATAAGAATCAATACTATTAAAAGTGAAGGAATCCTAAAAACTCTACTTCAAATGGTTATTTGGACCTATTCATTAACCAATTATTTATTTGGTTTTTCTTTTTATTTCTCTAACCTATAATAATGTATAAAAGGGAATCATTTATAATCTTTCGTAAATCAATTTTTTTGCACCCAAATAATATATCCTAACAACCAAATAATATTAAAGAAAATTAGAAAAAGAGATACCTACAACTTAGGTTTGTCCTTATAAAAAATTTAGAAGACTATTTAGGAAAATAAGATTTAGATTTCCATTAATACCTAAATACCCTTAGGATAAACCAATTAATATGAATTATAAATAATTTCTGAAATTGATTTAATATTAAAAAATAAAACAAAACAGAAAAAATAAATAGTAAAATAAAGATATATAAATTTCTAATCTTTTTCTTCCTCTTCTAGGCCTTGGCGTTTTTACCTTAATCCGAAGTACTGACCTTAACCCGAACAGGAAAAACTGAAATCGAATCCGAATTATTTTACAAAAATATCCGAACGGGACTTTTGAACTTACTAATTTGGATTTTGGTTATAACACGAACCGAACCGAAATCCGAATTAGGATCCGAAGATATAAGAAATTAGTTAAATATGTTAATGTTTTTATATATGTTAAGGTGATTTAGATATTTTAGAGTATTCAAAATATTTTGTAGTTTGTTTATTTGTTATTTTGAATACTTTATAGTTAATTTATATAATTAAACTAATTTTTAATTAGATTTGTAAATAATTTATATATTTAAATTTTTTTTTTGTCAATTTTCGAAGTTTTTAAAAATGTATTTTTGGACGATTTTAAATATTGGTTAGATCTGATCCGAACCGAACCCGGAAGGAACCAAACCGAACCCGATCCGATAGTTATGAGCATAACACCGAAAATTCGAATCATCCGGACTGAAACTGAATGGACCACCGTCGTCTCAGCTCCTCCGTCGTGTTCTCAGCCATTGCTATCGACAAAATCAGCCTTGCCGACACGTCTCTCCTTGATGTGTAAAACTTAGAGCGACAATGGCCACTTTTAGCTTAATTGGACATTTTTCCTCAAACTTTGCTTTTTGTTTTTACTTTGACCATGACATTTCATATTTACAGATTGGTCCTCTTGAATTTGCCATGAAGCTTTTTATTGTGCGATCTAACCCAAGGGAATATTACAAAACTGCAATCTTGGCCCTGGATAAACTCCAAAATTTTCATTTGTTCAGTCTAAGACCCAATGAATATTCCAACACTTTCACACCGTGTGTATAATCAATAGTTCCACCAGTTTTTAATAATATTGATATTATGCAAATCAACAATCTTAAAAAGAAACACAAACATATTTTAGTCTGTAACTATATTTGAATTCCGGGTCAAAAATAACAGAAGTCTTTGTGTCATATTGGTTAATTGCCTTGTAAAGCTGTCATAGGTGGTGGGTTCAAACAATAGATATATGATTTTTACCTTTGCTCAAATCTTATTATATAAACTTTGATACTTTAAAGTTACTAATTAACAATCTTAACTTTGATACTTTAAAGTACTAACTAGATTTTGACCCGCGCTTAAAACCGCGGAAATTTTTTATGATTTAAAATTTATATAATTGGTTTTTGTCATAATTTAAATAATATCTTGATATAAAATCAGTTCACCAAAATTTGTGGTGATGATTGTTTTTCATTAGTTTTTAGTTTCAGTTTTTATTTTTAGATTTTGGATTTTGGTTTTTAGTTTTTAAGTTTCTATTTTTCATTTTCAGTTTTTGGTTTGGGTTTTTAATTTTTAAACCAGCTGAGTTAGTTTCAATAAATATTACCAACAAACAAATATCAAATAATCGAACATCTAATTTAAAACTGAAAAGATGAAAACAAATTTAAAAAAAAAAATTGAAATAGTTTATTTTGTAAATAAACAAAGCAAAAAAAATATAATGTGTTTTCAGCTTTTGGTTTTGGATTTTAGTTTTTAAATTTGGTTTTTGGTTTTGCTTTACATTTTTTTAATCAGTAAATTATTTAAGAAAAATAAAAACAATAAATTATTTAAAGTTACCATTGAAATTTATCAAAACAAAGTGATTGTTATTTAAAATAAAAAAATATATTAACATGTTTTAAAGTACATGATTTAAATAAATGATTAATAATGGATAATTTTGTTTAGTTAAAAATATTAAATATCTTTTGGGTCTGAAAATAATAACTGATTTTTTGATCTTTTAAGGTGAAAAGTTTATTCAATGTTTTTGGAGTTTTTTCTTAATACTAAGCGCAAAAACCAAACTATATAATTTGTTCAAAAAATAAAAGTCAGCCCAAAACTATATTCCATAAATAACCACTGGTCTAATTTAAGTATAATTAGTAGATTTCCATATTCCATATTTTGATGATATATATTCTTTTAGAACATTCCATATTTGTAGGAGAAAATATGTGTTTTTGGTATACACATAGATTTCTGCCGTATTTTGAAGGTAGTTTACATTAAGGTCGTCTTTTTACATTTATTTTGTTGGTTTAATTTAAGTAATACGGTTCAATCAATTATATGACTTATATTATTTGTAACATTCTAGAAAGAGTCCAAATTTAAATGACAACTTGTATCAGTAGATAAAAATAATGATTCTATTTTAATAGAGTAGATTAACAAGATTGTGACACTTAGAAATTATATATGATTGTGACATGTGTTAAACTATTGGGCTTTTTGCAAATTTGACTCAAAACTCCAAGTCAAACACAAAACTAACCTCTTCTTTTGACTCATCTTGTTTTTGTCCTATTCACCCCACATCTTCATTTTATTTACGAAAATGCCATTTATATGTTTTTTGAATTTTTTTTCGAAAATGGCATTTTTACTCTCTCAACCTCATCATCTTCAAGTATTTACAA